AATTTATTCGTTTATTTCAGCTATTGGTCATGATCAAGAAATTCATCAGTGTATTGAAATTTTATCAAGACAAACAAAAAATAGTCTTTTAATTGGAGAACCGGTAAAAATTGAATTTAATTATTTATTTTGTTTAATAAATGAATGAAATTTTTTTAAAAAGGGGGTTGGAAAAAAGCTAATGTTAAAAGTTTAGCATAACGTATTATATTCATCAAGATGTGCATGATATATTATTAAAACGTTTAATTGAATTAGATTTAAAGGCATTATTTGGTAAGATTTATAATATATTTAGGAATGTTTAATCAACATAGACGAAAAACTTTGTAAATAATCGTATTATGAAAGAAGTAAAATGATTTTAGATTCTCTGTTTAATGATATTAAAAGTCAACTGTTGAAATTTCAATAATATATTTTTCCTATCATGATTCAACTATTTCCAAATATTTCTAATTGAATCTAATAATAAACTATTCATCTTTAAACATCATTAAAATATTTACTTTTCATAACATAAATTTAATAAAAATCTAAAAATGAATAAAACTTGAAAGAACAAATAGAAAAAGTTCAGAAATATATTCTATCGATAGTGGCCTATCTAACAGTATTTACCGATCATGATTGATAATCTTATAGAGAATATGAAGTCTATTCAAATATCAAAAATCTTTTCTAAGATCAATTGAAATTATGATCTTTGATAACTGTTAATTAAATTATTTTTGACTTAGAAACTTAATATGTATATGTTATTAATAGAAATATTTTTTTAAAATTGAAATATATCAATATAATTAAATATTTAATTTAATAAAATATTTTAGATGGTGCAAGGCATCGTGATGAATTAAAAGAACGTCTTAAATCAATTTTAAAAGAAATAAAAAAATTCAATGGTGGTATTATGCTATTTATTGATCAAATAGATTTATTATTTGATGTTGAAAATCAAAAACCCAGATCAATTGATACGATCGTTTACGACCTTATAGGTGGACGCAGTTATACGGCCCTATCATAATGAGATTACGACACATATACGACCGTATGCTGTGAAAATATGCCTCAGTATACGGTTTCGTGTTACTGTGCCCAAGATGACGAGAAAATACAGTCCGCTTACGGGGCCATGTGAAGGAAATTGACGGTGAAAGGGTTTGGGTGTGGGTCTTCTTTGGATCGATATTCACATCCACACCCACCAACACCCACAGCCTAATGCAGATGAAACAGGATTATTCTACCGTGCAACACCAGATCGTTCGCTAGTACTGTCGAAAGAAGATTGCAAAGGAGATGAAGAAAAAGCAAAGAACGATTTTTCATTCTTGTGTGCTCGAATTGGGCTGGAACTGGAAAAATGAAGCCACTTGTAATTGGTAATGAGATGCACTGCTAGATAATGTAGCTTATGTGATTTATATTTACTCTTAGGCAACAGTCTACGTCCTAGATGTTTTAAAACCATTGTTGCATCTAAACTACCAGTGACTTATCTTGCAAATCACACTGCCTGGATGAATTGCACATTGTTCGGAGACTGGCTTTCAGACATAAATGCTCAAATGAAGAAGTTCAGTCGTAAGAATATCCTTTTTCTTGACAATGTGACTTGTCATCTAGTCAACAACAACTGGTCGAATATAAAACTTGCCTTCTTTCCTCCAAATACTACTTCCAAGTGTCAACCACTTGACAAAAGGTGTCATCTACTCGTTTGAATGCCACTATCGACAGAAACTAGTTAAACATATAATTGCTCAATGTACTGCTGCTGGGACTGTAGATCACATTACAGTGACTGCTCTTGATGTAATAAGGTGGATTGATTCGTCATGGAAAGATATAAGGAAATCGCCCATTAAAACCTCGTTCCGAGCTGCCGGCTTTGTTCATCATTCATCTACACTATATTTGTGTACAGATAATGGTTCTGATATGGCGACCAAAACTAACCCAGAATCAAACAACTCTAACGATCCTCTAGAACAACTTGATTCTCTATTGGTTCATGGTCGAATTGAAGAACAGCAATTGACAGCTGGTGAATATATCGACATTGATTCTTCCATCCCAGCTTTCAACGAATGGGATGATGATGAACATCTGAAAGTTTTGGTTCAGGTCGGTGAGGAAGCGAATGACGATGATGAACTTGTTTCTGTAACTGAAAAGCCACCAAACTTGCCTGAAGTAATGGAAATGATGAGAAAGCCTCATCTTTTTGCCTCTACCCAACAGCCTCAGCTATATAATCTCATTTCTGATCTTGAATTGCAATTAACTGACATTTATTTGTACTCGAAAGCAACAAAACAAAGTTCTATCAAGGATTATTTTGCCACTTATTAATTTTTCTATTCTCAAAAATAAAATACAAAAAAAGAAAAGTAATAAAGTGTTCTATCCAATTATCTTAGTCACTAATACTTCAAATGCCTAGAAATATGTCTATTTTCTTGAAGAAAACCTTTTTTTTTCTAGAAAACACATAACCTCCCTATAGTGGACACTTTTGAAAAGTTCGAAGGATGTCCACTATAGAGAGATTTTAGTGTATGTTATCAATAAAACATCTTTGATTTACTTTTCTCTTCGTTAACATTTTAATTCAGAAAAAGAATACTGATGCTGATGATCGAAAAAATCGGAGATTCTTAGTTTTATGTTACATAATGTCATCGCGGTTGTTTGTTTCAACATAAAAAATAGTGTGATTTTTTTAACTTGGCAAAAATTAAAAATAATGAAGACTAATTTATCTAAACAAAATTAAATTTTTCTTTCATAAATCAAATCTACAAATAGAAATCTAAAAGAGAAATTTTTCTATTAAAAAAATATAAAGAAGACAAATTGCAAAGACATTGTACTCGAAATTATACGTATGATATGAAATTAACTTTAGATATGTATTAATAATAAAATACAAAAAAATATAATATAAAATAGAATTAATATTTTCCTATAATTGATGAAAATTAACTTTTGTTCCTAAATGTATAACTAATTTATTTGAACCAAACATAATAGCATTATTTAATTTTGGCTGATATTCATGCATATTTTTCAATATTCCATCTTTACTAATATGAAAAAGACGTGAAGTAGTCGTATGTACTACAAGCCATTCATCATATTGAAGTGAACAACAACTAATTCTAGACCATAATCCAGAACTTCTAAT